ATTTCGACCGTTACCGCCCGATATTACCCGTAACGGCCGATACGGAATATTTTTGCGTGTACCGCCCGGTAGGGGGCGGTCCGCGTACCGGTCGCCTCTCGGACCGGTACGTACCGCCCGTACCGGGCGGTACGATTCGGTAAGTAAAACCTTGGTTATACCATCATCCATGTAACAAGAATACATTGCTAAAAGTAAACTAACATGCTTAAGTTTTGGAGATAACAAATAATGAAAGTTATGGAATTGCTGAGTGTAGTGATTTATAGCAGGAGTATAGTACAGGCAAGACACCTGACGGCCACTGTCATCAATGGGAGTGCAGTCTACAGCAAGAAAAGTGCCAATATCATCAGCAGTTACCACATATTCTGGAACAGTAGCTCCTGTGGTGATAGATAACAAAGGCAATTATAGATAAACTGAAGCAATATCAAAAATTTTATCATCACTTCATCTAATACAAAAAAAGTCACATTGAACATTACCTTCAATATACTGCCTAGTGCCATTATCAAGTTCATGAATCCACTGGAAAGACAGTTCAGTATAAATCTTATTGAAGATTAATCACAACTGAATGCAAAAACAACAAATGGGCTTGATATCCTATTCAAGAAGAGGAAGAAATAGATCAGAAGTCAAATACCTGAAAGGTGCAAAGAGTAGTACCATTTGTCGGATATCCACAGGCTTGTAACTTACATCCTGGTTGAGCCTCACCATATATCTGAAACCCTTCTATACTTGGCAAGTCAAATTCACCTGCTAACCACAGGTAATATAAAATCACAGTTATCATCAGTTGAGAAGAAAGTCTGCTTTGCACTTCAGTATTCATTGATTCATTCAGCCTTTCACTACCTTCTGAAATAAAGGATCCACGATTTGTCACCATATGCAATTGGGCATCAGTATCTGGTAATCTAATTGTCTCCTCATGAGCATAACCTTCAAAGGAATTTGGAGCACCAGTACCACCAACCTCCCTGCATAATGACTCATAAGTTTGTACAAGAAAGTCTGCAGCCTTGGGGAATCAATTAGATAGGCTTCTCATAGAAATAACAAATGACATTTCTATAGAATCTCCAAGTAGCAACAGAGAAGGGACAGATAAACGACAACAGTCTCATGTAACCATCATTTGGAATTTAGATCTCACATGATGAATTCTTGATACCAATTGGCATAAAAGAGGCATTTTTTCATCTGAGGAACATTTTTTCTCTTTTAACTACTTCTATTTAAGTTATCTATGTTAATCTCCCCTTGAACCTTGTATTGGAATAGACATATCCCTCCATAGCCACACTACAATGTCTTCTTTTCAATGTATCCTAACCAACAATTGATTTTATATCATCTTTTCATAACTTGGGTATGCTGGCAGCCAACTATAACTTACCTTAACAAGCTCCTCAACATTCCTCCCATCAAACATTCATAGACTGTCATCCAGAATTTAGTCTTGACCAATGTAGTGCTGACAGTCTTACATTATATCAGAGATCAGAATGGATATCCTTCATTGTCCTCCAATACTTCTCATATTTTCAGGAAATGAATAAAGTAAACAACCAAAGAACCTTGGAAACATGCTTTTGTTGGCCCCATATCAAGGAAACTTAAAACGTGCATAACGATGCAATAACAATACGTTCAGAGCACACCACACAAGAGGTCAGCATATTAGAAATCCGAATTCATATACCCTACTAGGCTGTGAGTTAGATACAGTAACAAAAACCATTAAATAACTAATGGACTCACATGCAGTGTGACAAAAATACCATTAGAAAACCATAGCTAACCTTGAGTTCTTCCTATGTGAATGAGCTTATTTTAGCCTCTTCCAAAGTGAAAGGTTTCTACTTGTAAATTTCAGGACTGAGTCTTACCATGAAGATCAAATTAAAATATTCAGTTTTTATTATGATTGACAGAGTCAAACCAAGCAAACCAAGCAAACCAATAATATATCAATCTGCTGGATCAAATACAACCATTGATGCTAAGAATAGGTATGAAATGGTACAGAAGGATAAGTGCTGCATGGTTTATGACAAGAGGTATCTCAGCCTTCAAAATAGTCCAATAAAGGGAGTATAAGCATATTAAACTTGCATTCCTCTTTCAAAGCCAACATGTTAATGTGTGGATCATCTCTACTTGCTTCTGTCAGAGTAACGTTACGAGAAAAATGAATGTATATGGTAATTAATTAGAACCTAAAATTGGGTCACTGTCTACGCATACTTCTTACTGGTCCTTAATTTTGCCTTAAAAATTTCCTAGGGTAAAAACATAACTGATGAATCTTGCCAGAAATTTGTCCAGCTATTAATAACTTCATTAAGAAAAAGAACTCAGAGGCACAGTAGGCACCCTTAAAGAAAGATCTTGTACTAACATATGAATATCAGATGGTAGGCACTCTTGGGTAGCTCTCAACTGATTAGATGCAGATTTGCTATGCAGATTCATAGGATATTGATCAGATGGGCGAAGCTCACGTATCATTGGTTCCTACAAGTAGAATATCACAAATCAGCTTCACAATCTAGGAGATGCTAATAAAACTGAGTACTCCAGGCAGATAATACCACATAAGCATGAGGCAATTGTTTTCTTGAAGAACTTGGATGTTGAAGCTTCTTATCAACCACCAGGTTATCAGGTTGATTTCCTAAGAGATGGTTCATATCACCAAAATTACCCTGCAAAAAACCATATGTAAATCAATTGATGGATCTAGAGTAAACAAATAGAACTGGTACTCGTGAGGAAATTCAGCAAGGAAATTATACTTAATCCACTAATTACATAAAAAGGGAATATTTACTTATATGTTGCATGCAGGATGCAATGTGCTGCATGATTGACACATAGCGGGTATTGGCACTGGACATAGGGATGTGCAGTCATGCCTATATACCGTAGTTATCAGAATTCAGAAGCATTATAATCATCAACCCAGCCAACCGTTGGCTAACTAGGTCATTTGTTAGGACCAATGGGTCAATCTATATCACTTGGACCATAGGTTTAATAATGTAATAATTATAAATAATATAATATATGTAAAAAGATAACCTTTCTTCTTTCTTTTCCTTTTTCACTACCATCTTTTTTCTCTTCTTGTTCTCCTCCATTTTTTTCTTTTCTTTTCTTTCTTTTTACTTTTTTTCTGTCATCATGTAGCACGTCATTTTCCTCTAATTTTTTCTCTTCTTCTTCTCCTCTTCTCCTTGTTCCTCATCCTTCCCTTCCCCTTAACTCCTCTCCTTAATTTTTTGCCTCTGTCATCCCTTCTGGCTGCAATTCTCAATCTTCTTTGGTGACAAAGGGTCTGAGCATGTGCACGAGACAGTGGATCTTGGTAATGGTGGGTGTCGGCAACACGGGCCTACGCAGACCGACAATGACTCAAATAGATGGCAAGGTTACTGTGTTACACAACAAAGCAAAATGACCATTGGGAAGAGAATAAGGAGAGAAGCATTAGGTGAGGCCATGGGCCTTCTCGACAGGCCTGTAGCAAGTGGTTCAGCAAGCATGACAGCATTGCATGGCAACATGAAGAAACAGCAACAGGAGGCTTGGGCAAAAATCAGGGGAGGCCATGTGCCTGTGCAAGTGGCTCAGCAAATGGGAAGACGATGCACGGCAACAAACGATGACAAGTTGGCAGCAACTGGTGGGTTGAGCACAGGTCGGATGAGGTTGCAGACCACCTCGGCAAGGCAGTGGCAAGTGGTTCAGCAAGCATGAATGAAGGATGTGGCTACAAGGGGGTTTAGCAACAGCAGTAAGCCCAAAACATGATAGATATATAAATTCCAACAATATAAGATCTATGCGTCCATACCAGCTATTCAAATGCCAATTGGGTTTTTTATCTGAGATGCAAAGGCTAAAATTTCCAACAAAAAAAGAAAAGAAAAAATAACTATCCTCACAGAAGGAAGAAGCCAGTAAATGAGGTTTCCTTAGTTACCAAAGCACAAGAATCTCCACTCAATCAATCATACATTAGTAATAACAAAGATAGCACTATTCAGAAACTTAAACCCAAGTTGATCTAGAAGTAAATTTTGTTTCCTATGTCAACAGAAATTTGAAACCTGTGTAGCACAAATCTGGCTATCAACTTAAACCTGAGTCTAGCTCGAGTTTAATATACTAAATATAATAAGTCCAGATTGTCTTAGTTTACTCTAAAGATTATGTCAACAGTGGAAGTCCTTGTGAAACATTATAATGGGGCCTTGCTTTCAAATAACAATTATAAGTGTGAGATAGTTAAACTAGACACATATGCTGAATCTTTGGATTCAGCTATTACAAACAAGGCATACCTAGACGACATACTACAGCATTACAAATAAACAAAATTTTGGGATTTTTTTTAATACCATAGTTACCAATCAATCCGAGCTGAGCCCATTTGTATTCCAGATTGATACAGTTCACATCTTCTAGTGCCTCTTTGTATAAGTGTTACATTGTCAAACTTGGGTTTACAATGTATCCTACCAAAGAGAACAGAAGAATCTAAAGCTTGATGTTTGCTTACCTTAAATGTAAGCAAACATTTTATCTAGATACAGCTACATAACTGAATATATTGTGTGTTTAAAGTTATTGTTAGGCTTGTTCAATGACTGTCCCAAACAAGCATTTTATCTATCTTCTGTATTATCAGCAAAGGTCACACACTATATTTTTAGCATTACAAATCCAAGCATAGTTCACAAATATGATGAAACAATCGAAACATCAAGAATAACATGGATTATGAATCTTCACCTTGCATCTCGGGTACCAAATAAAGACCAAAAGGTTCATATTTCAAATGCTGTCTAATAGAAGAATCCTTGTGTTTGCATTTAATGTTTAGGTTCTCCATGCCTGCATGCACACATGCATGTAAAATTTGAAGTTTTGTGCCCACAAGAAGTTTTGGTCCGTTTTAAACAAAAATGATAAGCTCTGGCAAAAAATGTTGACAATTTTAGTCGGTCTAAACTGATTGATTTAATACTAAAAGATCATTTTCAAGATCTTACTCCACACCATTTCTTTTACCAATTTTGCTTTATGGGTGACAAACTGACTGTAAAACATTTTTAGCATTTTAAGTGGGACATAAGCTAACAAAAGTGATATACAATATAACAAATTCCTGTACATCATTGCCAAAGTTTAATGCTTCCTAATTGTAGGTAATAGAGTGCATATTGCCTATGTTCTTTTGTTGTTTGGTCGTTGACATCAAGTAATCATGCATACTACGTTACTACCATTTATATTTCTGGGCTATCAGCCATCACATTTTTTTGCACTTGCACAAATTGTGATGTATATGAGCACTGTTTATCAAAATGGGCAGCAAGCTTAAAAAGGCAACGAGGGAGATAAATTTGATCATAAATGCAAAGAACAAATCAAATTTGCATGTAATAACTTCTAGTTTGTTACTAATACAGAAGATTGAAAACATAACCCACGTGAGTTGAACTTGGATGAAACAATTAGTCCACCATAACGGTGTAAGCAGAGAAGAATTCATATTGACAATATTAATATAACCAAGATCATAACCAAGAAGCTGGCAGAAACTGACTTACATAAGATCTAATCTTCCATTGCATATGCTGGTATAATTGCTGAAACAACAAAAACCATCAGTTACACTCAGATAGCTAGTTACATGATTGCTAATTGTACTCAGCATATATGACACAAATGTCACCATAAAACTAGGAAAAGAGTCTAAGCAGCCAACAAGTGAATCAGTTATTAACTCCAGTATAGGTCAAGTACTAGCCTCATGCCAAATAGCAGTACCAAATTAGAAATGCAAAAGAATGGAGAAAAGAAGTCATTATGATATAGGGTCAGTAAGGCCAAGTTAGTTCGCATGCAAATGCACGGAAAAGACAAAGAAAGTCGCAAGTTAAATTTCTTGCGCCCTGGTGCAGCTCTTACATGTAATCAGCATTAAACAGTACTAAATCATTCCAGGCAAAGGGCTTGCACGTGAGCAACACATACCACTCGATCCATCAACAAAACCAACTTGACAGATTTCAGACTGGAAACAAAGACATTGGTTTATGACTGACCAAAGCACGATATCCTGGAACATCTTTAACTAATGATACAGCTCTATCAAACTCAATGAACATCACTAAAAATGTAAAGTATTAACAAGCACAAGCAATGAGAGATTTTAAACAGGTGAAACAGAAAATCTGCTTAAATATACAAGTGATCCTACTTTGATCAGCAGAAGCACAATTTAAGTTCAACATGCCTTAAACATGAAAGGCCCAGGATGGTGTACCCAAACATTGCATGATAACCCTTAATTTTACAACCGAAACAAATATCAACCTAGTTGTTATCAAACTGGATAAGAAAATGGTTATCACCTTCACCGGTGAATTCAGAATGCAGTATACGCTAATGTTGAAATAGAGAGTACAGCAAGCTCAAATTTCATCTATACCAGCAAAGCCGAAAATATAGAATATAAAATACTAAAGCTGCGAACAGAACATCTACAATTACAAGTCTTCAGAGTACAATAATTTGGGATTCCCTGCACTCTATGTAGACTGACAAAGGAAAGGTGGTAGCAACAACCATCAAACTGTACCGATTATGCATCCTCAGATAGCAAGAGTAACTACTAACGAAATTGATCAACCACAAGAGCTCTATGTCAGAAGGAGATCTGAAGAACTGCTACCTTTACACAAGAGGAGATTGTAGAAGAAGTGATTGAAGGGGGTCGTATGTCATATTCAGCTAATAGACTTAGCAATGACGAAGTTAGTACATACATCTCATCCTCTACAACCTGAACAAATTGGCAAGAAAACCATATTACAAAGTATACTATGGAGTGCATTTGTTCAAAAAAATTTAACGAAGCCTAACAAGAGGTGAAATTCAAAAGTAGCTGCAAATCATATTGTAAGTACCAGAAAGTCAATATTTTTTTAACAAAGCCTAACAAGAGATGAAAGTCAAAAAGTAGTTGCAATTCATATTGTAAGTACCAGAAAGCAAATAAACTGACTACATGGTTTTGTAAGGTACTGTAGACAAGGTGTTGATCTCCAAAGATGACGCATCACAATTACCCCAGTGCACGACAGGCCGTCTAGAATGTACCCGGAAAAAAATAAAGAATCAAGAGTGCTGAGGTTCAAATTTTGATTGTGGTCAGCTCGCATGTTAAACTAAAAAAAAAGGTTTTTAGATAATATATAACCAAATTATTATCAAATTATTGGTCCCTAAGGATCTGTTAGTGTTTACTTCACTTCATAAATGTGGAAAATAATAATATACCAATATAGTTGGCACTAAGGTTAGACTACATAAATCCCTTTCCTTATGTTCCTTCTCTCTCAGAATTACAAGCTGTATAGCACCTAACAACCAAGTGGATCTAATGTTGGAAAGCAAACTAGCCTAGCCAACATCGTCTTCTTTGGGTCAGTGAACAAAGTGGAATGTCCTAACTATGTGATGATCCAAGCCCAAATGTGAGACATCCTACTTTCATATATCCTAACCTGGAGCCAAACACGCCTAAATATTGGATGTAGCTAAGCTAATTAATAACCATAGTTCACTTGTTTCAGAATTGTAAAACTAGTCAAACAGAACACAAGCCTTAATGGACAACATATGTGAGCTAGTTCATTCATTTTCTGTTTGAGTCCTAAAAACAGTCTAACTGGTCTAAATTGGCAATAAGTTAATGAATCCCAATAATGTTTGCTGATAGAAATATACTTTGGCAGCTACTTGTACCATTAATCTTCTTTCTTTCCCTTCTCCAATTGATTTTAGAATCCATTTTACTCATGACAGCACATAGGCACAGCTTTTAATTGAGTTGCTGAGTCGATATGGAACAATTAGCAGGTCTTTGTCCCAACCAAAACATGCCAAATTTTGGCTTAGCTAAATAAAATGGTCAGCTTTTGCATAGGTGTTCAAAATTTTATTGCTATGTAAACATCTGGTTTCTAACATGACAGTAGATAGTGGATGTGTTATGAGATTTCAGAGCATTATCCACCAAGCATAATCTCTCTGCAAAGTCCCAGAGGGACAAATTATTCTTGGACATACTCCAAGGGCAATAATACAATAAGATTCCATTCCGAACAGCAGTAGACACGAATGGAATGTCTTCTTCATTTATAAAATCAGCCCAAAAGTGTATAATTAAGCATAGAAATATTGCACAATGAAAATTACTTAAAAAAGACTAGTTGCAAGATGTGCTTTTATCAAAAGGAAGATAAACTTTGAAAAGCAAAATCTACTCAAAGTAGAAAAAGGCCCTTGTTACTTAAACTTGATGCAGCAATAATAATAGAGCTTTCAAAGACACGTGTACAACAAACAGCTGAGTCATCTATAAACCTCTACAAACAATCTTCTTCTCTGTTCTCTGATTATCACCATGAGATCTATACAAATCGAAAACCTTCAATTCTTTCAGATATGGCGATTGTGATCGTTTATAAACTACTGCTAGTGGTTGAAGCAATAAAAACATCAATCTCACATGACAAAAAATTTAAGTTGATTCAGTGCCACCTCCTAATACTTGGTACAGAAAGAATTTCCCATCTTTGTTACTTTAGTACCTAATTCATCTGAGAACATGTAAATCTAGAAGAGAGACTAAAAATTCATGCTATGTTTTACCAATTTCACTTCATCTTCTAATATCTCATAGCAAAGTTTCTCCTTCATATTTCAAGTGCCTACTTAAAAAACAGTTTGATCAAAGTAATCGGTTTTCAAATGCTTTTGGATTGTCAAACTCAAAGGTTTAGTCACCAGTTAATCTTATAAATGCATGAATGTTAATAACCAGGTACTTTTAAGTGGCTTTCTGCACATATACATTTAAAACATTTTCTCCAACATTAAGCACCAAGTTATAACGCATTATTCATATAGCAGTAGCTGATCATAGAACAATGGCATACCATGGCAGATACTAAATGCACATAAGATGCCACAAGATAGAAGAACTGAAACATCTGGAAATCATGTTCAACTTCATTTAGAAATACGAGGGAAGTAGATCGAAAGCAAACCTTAAGATTATTGGCCAATCTTAAGTTTTCTTCAAAATAGCTTCTCTTTTTAGTCAATTCTTTCAAGGCACTAGCTATTGCATCATCCTGCTTCTCATCAAGTGCCTATTGCGCGAAAGAATACTTCACAATTTTCAAACAGGAAAATAATTTATAAATTAATGTATATACTCTCAGCGCTTACGTACTATCCGCAATTCACAAAGCTTCCTCTCCAAAATATGCTTCTCATTAAGTAACTGAAGTTCCTAAAAGCCAAAAAGGACCATTTTTATGTAATTAAATTAATAAGTGCAGCAAAATGATGGTATAATGAGCATGCATTTAAACTGTTACTATCTTCATACTTTAATGCTAGCGTCAGTGATTTGCTTACGGAGAAGAAGGATCTCTTCTTCCTGAATGTGGGATCTATAGTAAAGTTCCTGAAAAATTTTTGTTATATAAAAATCAGATACATGTGTTGTTTATCAAAGAGCATAACCTGCAACAGCTTCCAGGTAGATCTTACCATGATTTCTGGATCCAATATGCGGTTGTTGACTTTGGCTCTTTTACTGGAACCAGAATCAATTTGAAATTCATGCCTACAGGCAAAAAATATGTTGTATAATAAACGAATTAAAAACATGTTTCTGAACAAAGATCTTGATTAAAAACTCCTTGATTTAGGACCTCATTAAAGAATCAGATGTCCGAGCCGAAAGGCCAACATCACCATTTTCAAGCACATAGCCTGTGTTAGGTGGCCTTGCATCAGCTGCCATAAGTTCACTTGAGAACTGATGATCATTGTTGACTGCATCTGCTTGGGCATAAAATGGAATATGCATATTTCTTGTACTATTGCCTGGCAAACAGAGCCAGATCATCAAGTATTAGAAAGTTTAAATCCTCGGAGGTGAACAATTAATTAAAATATTAGACACCAACAGAGTCAACAAAGATTTGAATAGAAATGTTACTGTATGTGAAATTGTAGTTATGACCGAAACATATTTTGAGATGGAAACTTTTTCTTCAGAATATTTGTGCTTGCTAAATGGTTATTGATTCTTGTGGCGTAGAATAGATTGTTTTTTTCCTTTTCCTTTCAAAAGTATAGGAAAATTTTAGAGGGTTGCTTCTAGTTATGTAAGCTTGAACTGCAACCATTAAGTAGACTTTTCTAGCATTCCAAGAGCCAAGGCAAAGCCCACTCTTGTAATTTTTGTAAATCTGCATGGAGTCTTCTTGGTTTCAGATTGCGCTGGGAAAAAGCCTGAACAATGATGTTGATGGCAGCAGGTCATATACATTGGAACCATATCAGTAATAATGTGTTCTTATTCTGGAGTAAAAATGCATGCCAGGTAAAACCTGAAATGTATTATATCATGCTAGAACCTCTCTTTGTGTGTGCCATGATGATTGTGGTCATTAGGTTCTGATGGAAGGAAGTAAGTTCAGCATTTATAACCCATTTCTGAATCCAAGATCAAACTAGTAACTACAAATCAGTCAAGTATCCATTATTTTTTCCATCCAATAAGCAATAAAGGTTGAGCTAATAATATTGCGGATATTTTTCTGTGACTCACTGACAAAAAAATGCACAGTAACAATTAAATGACCACTGTATCTGCTGACATTAAATATTATATTACATTTTTCATAGCACAGCAATGATTGAAAGGCGTAAGAAAACCAGCCAGTCAGATAAGCAAGCACGTACAAGTAGTAAGATCGAGAAGAATATATTCGTAATAAAGAAAATGAAACAAACTTAATGTGCACAAGTTCTTTAAAGCATCCCAATTGGTACAGAGAAAGAAAAAAAAAACATTAAAGATTCAGTGTTCTACCGGACCAATGCTTATCGGTTGCCTGATCGCACAAATTGAGCTGCTTGACAGCCCATGCCTGCAGCCAAGAAACGTCAGAAGACCTTCAGATTAGTTAGAGTAACGGTCAACGTAAAATCTTTCCGGCTGCCACCGCGTTGAAGTTTACTAAAGAAACCCCGATCGCAGCACACCTCTAGAATCAAGAACCGAGCTTTCCTCCCGGCCAGAACCGCACGGCCCCGGCGTTCGCTCGATCTTTAAACCGTTCCGACACGAATCCTAACCCTATAGCGGACGAGGTTAGCCAATTGTTTAAATGCCTCATGAATTTACAGGAAACAAGGCGCAACGCGAACCCGAATCATGCAACAGAAATAAACAAAAGAACCCTAGAAAGGATCCACGGAGTCGCAAGATGATAAAGAAAAAGCACCTGTTTGATGAGATCCCGAAAGGCTCAGAGTACCGGAGACGGAATGAGTTGGGCGATGGGCAGAAGAAATGAGAGAGAGAGAGAGAGAGAGAGAGAGGTGGAGGAGGATTGGGAGGAGGAAAGAGGTAAAAGCAGGGGGGGACGGGATGCGGTCGGTGTTTCGGTGCGTCAAAGTCGTTGGGGTCTGCTGTGGTGCGGAAAAATAATCCTTTGAATAATATTTTGGAGAATTCCACGTCGTCGCTCCGACCCATCCATGACACAACCGTAGATGGCATGCCGACTTTATGCTCCCGTCCGGTCCCTATTTGAGATAATTTATGTGATTGATCTGAGAAACTAACGAAGTCGATGGCATTGTGAACTCTATTGATCATCATCACGAAATGTTGCATTTTCCTTGGACAATCTTAAGCTATCGACAATTTATTTTAATTTTTATTTTTTGATGAGGCCCGATAGTAATGTGTGAAAAATATGTCCAACCAAAAAATAAACTAAAGCATAAAAATATACTTTTTATCCATATATATTTTTATGGATGAATTTTTAAAAAAATCTTTGATTTTCATTATTTTTCATTGGACACTACAGTTTTAAAAAATTATTATAAAATGCTCTTAGTAAGATGAAAAAAAAAATATTTTACCATAGTCTTCGTCAAATCTACCATTGCCTGTGCTTTGTACCGATGCCTCCTCCTTGTACCATCATTTTGCATTGCCTCCATCATTATCATCGTGTCCTTCTTTATGTGAGGGTCATGGGTGATAAGCCCTACAAGGCAAAGGGGAAGAGGCGATGGTTATTAACATTCGACTAGAATGAGACTTTTGTCATTGGTCACTTTTGCACACCATTGCACCTGTACCATGTGTGATGAGCAACCGTTCGAAGAGAAGCAAGGCGATCAATAACCAATAACCAAGGGTTGGGTGGAAGTAGTGATTGATTGGGGTGAAATAATTATTAAAAAAAATACTGTAGGAGATTTTTTTAAAGTTAGAACATTATATAAAAAAATTTATTTTTTTATGAATTTATCATATTTTTATTTTGATATTTCATAAAACGATAATTGAATTATGACCATCATAAAAAAAATATTTTCATGATTTAAAAGTCCATTTATATAGAATTTGATATTCTTTCGACTTCAATATTCAAAATTACAAAATTCTGTTTGCACAAAAATAATGAGTAAATAATAAAAAAATATTAATAAATAATAATATTTAAAAATAATAAGGAAAAAGTTCAAGAGAAAGCAGCATCAACTTGGACGAGCAATTTCCCTGTAAAACAACAAAAGAAACAAAGATTATCATCGCAATTTGACATCCGACGACAAAGGGACTGTAAAATAATATTCAGATATAATCTCGCATGTGGTCAATTTTCAGATCGAAATCATACGTTGTTGCAACGAGAGGAGGAAAAGAACTTCACGTACGTTATACACGCATACAAAGACGCGAGTTCACATACATTAAAGAATCAATCCCAAAAGGCTCTTCAAGGCGTTACGTACCAAACCTATAGGAGTCAAGGACGTTGTCACATCGGTGGCTTCTGCAGCTGTCGCGGATTTTGGATATGGTGGCCGCACCCAAACGAAGCCAAAACTTGAACGCATCCCACCAATCATGTCCCTATCCCGCTTTGCCATCCTCGCGGTGCCCCCACAAAACCCATCTCGACGTGGGTCCCGTGTGACCCGGCGCTCATCTCCGATTGTCCAGACCCGCATTCGGATAAGGCGGTGGTGCCGCCCCCGTCACGAGACGACGGTCGAGATGTGAGAGTTCAAGAGCACAATTTGGAAGCACGCTTGCGGAAAACCCTCGCCAGATCCAAAATCGCGCCGCACATTAGAGCGTTTGTTTTCGTTTCCGGCCCGGCGCTTCCCTAGTGTCGTAGAAACCCTAATCCCATTTGAAGATGCGACGCTATGAGCGGCCCTTGGTCCCGAGATGGAGGAGTTGTTTCCGGTGGAGCGGCTCTTCTGCCAGGGTGTCTCCCGCACATACGAACATGCCATCGCCTTCCCTGCCGATGCCGATGCCGACGCCGTCGACGTCACCGGCCGCCTAACTCACTGCCTTGCTCTCGCCAGATCGGCTGGATCCTTGCGCCTGCATTCGGCGACGGTGAATATTTTCCCAACCCGCACTGGGCCGGCCTATGGGTCTTCTCGATCTCGATTTTTAGCTCAGCTTATGGATGGCAGCCCAACGCTGATTTCATCAGGCCCACTATCTAGCCCTGTCTTGTTATGCACGGTGGTAAGCCTTCTTCTAATTTTGTCTCTTTGGCTAATTAATAAGGAAGAAAGAAGAAAGAAGTCAGAGATAATTCTGAGAGCAGCAGCAGCAGAAAACGGACCGCATTCTTAGCAATACGACATCTTCGAACCTCCCCGCCAGATGAAGGTACAACATCTAAATATACCGTTACATCAATAAGCGCAATACACAATACAGCATGATCCAAACATGTCTCCTACGTACAACCAATCATATCCACGTGATCACGGGCTATCTACGGACTGGTGCCTCGGCAGCCAATCGGGAATAGAGAGCAGCGTTAAGCTGCTCCTGCGTGTACACTCGGCTCGGCGACATCTTCACCGTCGCCTGCTGGATCATGAGGTCCTTCACCACGGACACGCTCGCGTAGTGTACTTCCACACCAAGCTCTTGCAGTGCTGTCATCAGCCTTGCAGCTGGATGATTCCTTCTTTCACACTGTAATCTTACCATTGCCTCCATTCCCAGTATCTTCACTTCCATCTCCACCCCATGGCACCGGCTCCCGCCGTTCACCATCTGTTCGTGTTGGGCGGTTGGCGATGGCCGCGCACGGCCGGAATCGCGCTGCTTCTCGAGGGCCTCCACCTGTGCTTGTAGCTCCTCCCTGTCGGCTTCCACTGCTTGGAGCTTTGACCGCAGTTCTTCGATGTACGACACGGCGTCGGCGAGGAGGGAGGCTTTGTCCATCTTCGACACGTTTGGGACTACCGCACGGAGAGCGTAGAACCTCTGGTTGAGCTTCTCGCGCCGCTGCCGCTCGGCTTCCACGTGGTTGAGAGGTTCCTCGCGGCCGTTGGCAGGTTTCCGGCCACGCTTCCTCGGCCGCTTCTCCGGCTCCACCACCTGGCTGCTCTCCACCTCCCGCACCGAGGCCACGAGGTCTGACTGATCAGAATCGGCGGCGTCGAGGATCCCGCCACCGCCACCGCGACCGCCACCGGAAGAATTCCGTTGACCGTTGGGGAGTGGTCTTACCGGAGTCGATGAGAAGGAGAGCATCCCCTCATCGTTGTTGTTGCTCGCTCTGGACGTCGCCCCCGTGGATCTCGTGTTCTTCTTGTCGTCCACCGTGGCGGCAGCGGCGGCTGGGTGGGAGAAGAGGCTGCCGGCGGCAGGGGCTGGCGACGAATTCCTCTTGCCACCGGCGAAATTTAGGATATTTCCAGACTCCCGCTCGAACGAGTGGGGGCCCACGGAGTCGTTCGAGGCGAATTCGGAGGAGTTGAGATCTTTGGAGAAGAAAGATTGGTTCCGCGGTTTACTGCCGCCGCTCCGATGCTGCTGCTGGTGGTTTTGGGATTTTTGAGTCTGGAACGAAGAGCTAGGGTTTTCGATAAGGTTACTGGAGGTAGCTTTGTTCCCGAATTGGATCGGGGGTTTCGTGACGGACATATCGGCGGTGGTCGAGAGGAACGAGACGGAGTCTTTGATTTCGACCGCGGACGGATCTGTGAGCGAGAGCACGGATGGATCGGTCTCGCCCCGATCGGCAGCGGGAGTCCCCACCGCAGATTGCAGCGCGAGAGAGGATGGTGCGGCGGCGGCTGCCGAGGAGGAGGTGGGTGCATCCGGGGAGTCGAAGTTGAAGAGGACGCGGATCTTGCCCATGATCTCGGGGTTTTCGAAGATGACATCGGTGGAACCGAGCTCGAGGACGCCGGAGCCGACCGGGACGCACACCATGGTTTGGATGCCAAGCAGCTGCGCCTGGTGCGCCCGCTGGCAGGGCGCCGCGGCAAGTCGGGAGTCGCCTGCGACCCACGAGGGCGCGCCGGCGTAGAGAGCCTGACCGGCAAGACCGACGCCGTTCACGAAGGACTGGGTCATAGAGACGAGGAAGAACCATTCGGTGTCGGTGACCTCGTCTTCGACGGCCTCGTCCATCCCCGACGATCCGCCGCAGGAGATGAGCGAGTGGAGCTCCCGTAGGACGCGCTTCCGGTACTCCTGTTCCTCGGGGGAGGCGGCGGCCGTGGGCCGCTGCTTCCGCTTGTCCTCCTCGCGGCCCTTATAGTAGCCGTCCCCCCAGCCCAGGTAGGAGGCCCCTGTGGCGGCGTCCACCGACGACTGCCAGAAGATGCCGTACGTCCAGCTCTCTCGCGCCCCCTCGATCAGCGTCTGCAACCGTTGCTGGAGCGTCTCCTGGCTGAGGTACGCGGGCGTGGTTGGAGTTTGCGGCGACGCCGCCGGCGGGGCAGGACCACGGACGGCCCTCACGGGATCGAAGGAGGAAGCGGCTGTGGAGGGCGGCGGAGGGGTGGGAGGAGGAGCCCAGGAGAAGCCCTGGAGGTCGGTGGAGGCCATGAAGGCCTCCATCACGGAGGCGTTGTCGTCGGACCAGAGGTTCATCCGCTTCCTGCTCGATCACCGGCGTGGCCGGACTCCTGCGCACGAACTGGATCCCTGGATTCCGGTAAATCCGGGTGAGTCCAGGCTCGGGGGGAGCAGCGATGGGCGGCTTCTAAAAACCTGGAAGCTAGGAGAGGGGCCGTGGACACCGGAAAGAGGGCGCGGCGCAAACGGCGCGGAAGAAACGAGCAGGCAAACGAAGGAAAGAGAGATCGGCGCACGCAAAAGGCGTGGCCCGTTTCGCTTTCAAGGAAGGCGTACTCTGCTGCTTCCGGCTTGTTTCCTTCCAGTAAATACGGCATGGCACAGTCACCGAACCAAACCTTCTGTTCCTAATTAGATCGGACGAATTTATGGGAAAATCCCAAACTCCCATTTTATTTTTAAATAGAATTTTAGTATTTCTGATACAAAGAGATCGAAATCTTATTAAAAACATAATAATTGATATATAGATTATTTTCAATGTTTCTCACCATAAATCAATAGAAATATCTATTTTTAAATAGACATTGATAAACTGATTTGCTTTGGATTTCGAGTCAATTATAATATTTTTTTTGTGTAGATTTATAATATTTTTACGGAGGCATCAAGAGAGATACAAACAATTTCTAACCGAGAAATTAATATATCTGTCCAACGCTGGGTAGCTAATTCAGTAAATCACGGGTCTGCAGCGGCCGGGCAGGAGGGCGAGGACGAATGGCCGAGTCGCAATGAGTGCCAAACGGAGCTCGTAAATGGAATGACAGATGGAGAAAGGGGGCGGTAAATACAGGCAAATGTGAACAGATGTAGAGGATGGGTTGAAGCGGCGGCGCCATCGTAGAGGGGTTATTTTATTGCTGCAGTGGGTAGGTGGAAGCGACACGTTGTCGTCGCTGGTTCGATGAGGAAAACGACGCTTTGGTTTGGTTTGCTGTTGTGGTCACGCGGGGAGGAAGGAAGCCACTTTCCTTTCCTTTTTTTTTTTTTAATTTCCTTTTTATCATTCTAATTTCCTCACGTGGTGGATGAAGGAAGGAATAAATAATCAATCGACCCAACAGGAAGGAAAGTGGCTTACACGAAAGAAAACGTAGGCGATATGCACTTACTTATCTCTGACCGACGTGTATTTATGCTTTTCATAGATGCAGACGATTTGATTGACAAATCACTTTTAGTAGGTGCGCATGAGGCCCCACTTCTTTGTCCTTTTTATTCATTTATTATTTTTTCTCTTAAAATTAGTTGCATGTGGTTGTCTTGACGCATCAGCCGTCGGCAAATGGCGCCGGGCCCATTCTTTCTTCGTCTACGACCGACAGAATCTGCATGAATCAAACAAAATTGTGGGGACAAACCGCAAGAACGCAGAGAGAGAGAGCATGCATCGTTGTTCCCACGGGAATCAGAAACACAGGGCGTCCGACATATGTGCGCCAGCGAGGCGTTAAATGGCAAAAGTCACGACTCACGTGTAATTCACTACGGGTATTAATATACGTTATAATATATATCTTTTAATCTAAATATATAACGGGGTGGTGGCGCAGTTGGTTAGCGCGTAGGTCTCATAGCTTCCGAGTTATCCTGAGGTCGAGAGTTCGAGCCTCTCTCACCCCAATAAAAAGTGTTTTTCACCTTTTTGCTTCTGTTTTCCTGGGAAAAAAAATTCATCCTCGAGCCTCTCTCTCTCAGCCATTTCGTCGTGGGATGAAGTCTGAATTCATGCTGCTCGTCGTTAGTGTCAGATAAATCTATGTTTTCTAAATTGGTAAAGAAGTATGAAAAGTGTTTTTTTGGAGATTTTTCTTCTCCTACATGCCTCCAACTAGCTTTTAATCAGCGGTTGGAAAGAGCATAATTATTATTTTTTAAATATACTTGTAGTTTTTATAAATTGTAAAATAATCAAAATATCTCTTCTAAATAAATATTTATTTACTTAAAATAATAATTTTATTTGTCGAATCATTTGTCTTTTTTATAATCGATCAATTAGAAAGAGTTTTATTATTATGGAATTGGAATTATCTTTTTATAATCTGAACATTAGAATTTCCAACGAAAAGAAATTGAGCATAATTTTTTTCGTTTCGGAGATGAATTTGTTGTTACATGAGTGATAGGTCGCATAGCATCGAGATGAAGATTAAAACGGAGTAAATCAAAACAATGAAAGTACTTCATCGGCTAGCATGGGTAGAACAATATACAAATAAATGCGCCGTGGGTGGGTCAACAAAAGAGTGACGTCACGGGATTATTGGATTTCCTACCTAGGACGTCTCCTGAACGGTGTCTAGGGTGAATCTCCGCTTCTTCCACCATTATTATTTTCTATCTAAAAACTAAAACAAATTAAGCTCAAGATTGATTCTTTATGTCATTATTATCTCTAACAGAAAACTTAATATATTGAAAGCTTTAGACATACCATCTTACATTCCATGCAAAAGTATCGAAAGGAATCTTGCAAGTTCCTAGTATAATATTATTGGTCCATCTTATTGGTAAGCTTGGACTGAATGATTTGAACACTCAACCTAAATCTGAATTATTTAAAAAAAAGAAAAGTAGAGATGTGTGCGTGTAAGACAAACAAATGGAAGGAACGAACTCCGGAAACAATGGCAACGTAGACAAAAAAAAAAAAAAAAAAAAAAAAAAATCGGTATCTCACTTTATTATTGATTCATTGTTCTACTGTTTATATTACTCTGGTTAATATTTGCTTTTGGTAACAAGTTAGTATTTTGATAGAAAACCCATTTTGATATACAAAAAGGAAAAAAATTATTTTATTATAATAGTTTTTATCAATAAGTGGTATCACATTAGGTTGTTTGGTGCTAGTTTTTCTTGTGTGATTGAAATGAAAGAGTCAGATGATATAATTAAATTAAACTTATCAAATTATTCCACTTGGAGGTGTATGATGAAGATGAGGAATGAAAAATTCAACATAAAAAAGTCATTGCCTATATTAGAAGATGGATTGATGTAAGTTTGCATCAGCATATTTTTAATGAAATTAGAGCTGAGGTTGTTTGGCAAGGTTAGAAAATATTTTTACGAAAAATATAGATAGTGGGAAATATAATTTTTCTCATTAGAAAGCTTATTAATTTAAAATATAAAAATAGTGGTAATATTGTTGAGCACATAAGCCTATTTTAGAGTCTTGCAAATAAGTTTATTGCTGAAATATAGACGATGAGATGCAAGAATTATTACTTCTCATCTCTTTACTAGAAAGTTTGGAAACATATATGATAACAATTTCTAACTCCATATCAGAGGGGGCTCTAACCATAAACATGGTTAAAGATAGTTTGTTAAATAAAGATACTCGAAGGAAAAAAAAGAAGAATTTTCTTTTGGTGCACTTGCTAAATAATAAGGGGACTCTAATACTGGGCGATACCACTGCCTACTCTGATGTGACCATCGCCTGACATAGTCTAAGAGATTGTGTCTTGGAGACTAAGCCTCTAGTAGTGCCACCGTTGGACCGGTGGTGCCACCACCTAACTCAATTTTTTTATCACTAAATGGGCCTTTCTCTTGGCCTAAAACAGCCTCAATTCGGGCCCAATTGGCCTATAATTGAGTTGGCATTATCAAAATCCAAGATTCAACAATCTCTCCCTTTTTGATGATAACAATCAATTGATGACGGAGTTAACCTTAACTCCCCCTATCTATATGCCATACTTGAGAAAAGACATTCTTGAATTCAAGACCTTTGAATTCAAGAGACATATTGAGAAGTTAAGTTCATTTAAACTTATCAATACACACATCATGATTCCTATCATGATCTAACATTTTCAAAATAATGTCAAGGCATGACATCCATTTTCAAGTCTGATATTTCAAATATGACGGATGACAAGCATAGCAATTCATCATTCTATAGCAAGATATCAATTTGTAAAATTACAAGTTAAGCTCCAGATATCTTATCATAACGAAGAAAAGTTAACATGCAAACATTTCAAGTGTAAAATTACATACATTTATTATCAATTTATAATATTTTGGTATTATTTCTCCCCCCTTGTCATCAAGAAAAGGAGAACAATTCAACAATGCAAATGTGATAAAAATTCATGTCA